AAACTCTGGGTATTACATGTACTTGCTGGGAGATTATGAGTCTGCAAACTTAAATGGACACTGCAGGAACAACTGGTGCAAATGGCATTCTATTCTTTTTGGACACTCCGCAACTTGATAGCTGGAACGAAAAGTATCATAAATCCGTGGGGGAGACGCAGGCTCGATTGTTCTTTCTCCCTTTCTAGCATGCACCTTTGTTGGCTCTTTGAGCACAGGCAGGAAATGGAGCTCAACTCTTTTGTGAGTAATTGCCTCATAGGATGGCCTTTCCAAAATGCCGCTATAAACCCTGGAAAATGGGATTTACCAGTGTTGAAGTTTCTTTTTTGGGTTAGAAAAGTTGAATCACTTTCTCCAAATCTGATTTAAAATAGGTGCGGGTTTGGATTGTTTACCCACTGGACATGGTTCTCTGAGTTACACACAGGGCTCAGGGAAAAAAAAAAGTCCATATATCAATTTTCCAGCTCTAGGATGACTTCATTAAAGTGACTGAATGATGAAAAAAATTCCAATAAGTAGGGCAGCATTTGTGAGACTTAAGAAAACAAACTAAAAAAAATTGAAAACTTACTCCCTGAATTATCTGATAGGAAACCTGGCATATTTAGGAAGAAAGCTACATTACTATGGTGTGAAGAATTCATACCAAATGGAATTAAATGAAAGGCAGGGTCAGCAGCAACCTAGATACTTTAGTTAACCAATGGCTTTGCAGAGAGGTGATGTCATAGATAAGAATGGGCGTCTCCCAAGATAACAGATAACCAAAGAGGCATGCCTGAGACAACCATCTGTGCGGAAAATATTAAGTAATTCTGAATGTTCTGAAAACAGTAGAAAAAGCAATGTGATGGGAAGAAAATAACAATCTTAGATTGTGAGATCAAGTGTAACATTTGGAGCCTCTTGCTTTTCTTATTTATTGTTTTCTTTCATTTTGAAAAACATTGTTTTGGGCTGGGGAAGGAGCCTGGGTCTTTACAGATTAATAATTTGTCGAAAAACTTGCTTATTTTGCTCTTCCCATGTTTATCACATACATTCTAGGTATAACCGCTAATCCAAAATGCTGCATCCCTAGTTCTCAAATATAACAAATAATAAAATACGGACTGGCTCATGATGAAAATATCACATCCATCCTTAAAACTCCCTTGTCTGGTTCTCCCAGGGTCCTCTCCTCTGACTGAAGACTGCAGAAGGACCCCTGCCCGCACAGAAATCACATGATGCCTCCAATTTATAAGGCTGCTCACATGTGTTCTGAGTCCTCATGGCTAGGTGAGTGTCCTTCAAGTACTGAGTGAATATTTCATTGACTGAATAAATGATCTAAATATGCAAGGAGGCCCAAAGTCAGAAGAAGCAGGAAGCTGGAAAGAGAATTCTAGGAGACCTGGGCTCTAGTATCAGTTCTCCTACAAGTTCAATTCAGTCTTTTAAAAAATTTTCTAGCATTGATGTTAGAGAGAGAGACAGATTTGTCGTTCACTTCCTTGGTCATTGACTGGCTGATCCTTGTACGTGCCTTGACCAGGGATCAAACCTGCAACCTTGCGTAGCATATAGGGTCAATGCTTTAACCAACTGAGCTACCTGGCCAGGGCCTGAGTCCAATTCAGTTTAAAAAAGGATTTATTCAGCTCCTGGTGAAGTGTCTGGAACTGTGCATGGTAAACATCAAGGTGCCAAGGAGGAGGCCTGCTTCTGGAAAGGAGGGCGTAGCTGCGGGTTGGTTCTGTGCAGGCACGTACAGCATAGCAGCAGAGATACAGGCGAGAGCTAGCAGGGGAGAAAACCCAGCAGAGCCGCAACCCATCATTTGGTACCCACTTCAACTTCCAGAGTGATTCACCTAAGATTCCGTCTTCATTATATGCCATCATCAGTGACTTTGGATGTCGTCAAGTTTGCCTCTCAGACAGGAAGACAGGCTTTCTTAAAACTTGCACATGCTAACAGCTGTAATTAAGGTAGAAGGCCTTATTTAAATAGTAATTAGCCTCCAGGACTTGGAAGTGTGAACTGAACGCCAATTCATTTAGACAGTTCACTGAGGTTCCCTTTAGAGGCCTTAGCCTGGCCTCCCTCTTTAGCTATGATACATTTGCCTCCTGAGTGCGGACAGTGTATTGACTCGGTGGGGGTGAAATTTTGCAAAAATCTTGCTCGACTCCCAGAATGTTAGCTTTTAACTCTCTAGTAATGACTAATGCAAATGTATTTGAAAACACTGTGAAAGCATCAAGTAAAATTCTATGGCAAAATCATTCACAGTTGACCTCTCTTTATAAATTACAGGGAACATGTGGTTCAATATACTTATGTCATTCTGATGTAAGTATCAATAGGTTTCCTTTCATATTCAGGAATATCTTGGTTTGGAGATAAATTATGTGATCACTGTAATCATAACACCCACACACAAAAAAAATGGCACGGCATTCAGTGACTGCTATAACTAAAGGTGTGGGTGAGACTGGTTACTTTTTTCTGGGGGACCCAATGACAAATGTCGAGGTCCTTCTCCCTACTTATTGTCCTAAAGATGCTTAACAATTGATGTTATTAAGTTTAAAGGGTAATTTTTTAAAAAGACATCTTCTCTACCAGTAATATTATTGCCTTTGCGAGTTTCCTGGTCTGCCAATAACTCTTGCTACAAAAAGAAAAATCTTCAAATCATTGCATCTGATAGCTGCATATCTCTGTGCTGTTGCGGTCCCTGAGTCCTAAACATAAGTTTCATGGAAGGTGGATCTGATACTGTTTTACTTTTTAAAATATTTCTTCTCCCTGTTTCTTCTTGCTCATCACACTCTACAAAGGATAGTTGTATACAGCAGGCTTAGGCCTGCCGCTAGCCACCTTTTCAACATGTGCATCCAAGTAGGCCTGTATCAACAGTGCATATAACACCAATTCAACAAATATTTAATGAGTGCAGTGGCTGGCACACAGGAGGCATTCACAGGTATTCATTGAATGAATAAGCACCAACTACACCTTTGAGCCCATACTAGGTGCTACCAGCTAGGAGGTAGGGTCTGCCCTCAAGGGGTTAGCAGTCTCTAAGGGGAGGGAAGATGTAAACAAATGAACCATAATTGAATGAAAGAATCGTTACATTAAGTGCCAAAAGAATCTCTAACTATGCGCGGGAGGTAGAGCTCCCTGGGGCTGGACAGGAGATGCAGTGTGTGTGTGGGGGGGGGGCAGGGGGGGCGGAGCTTGAAGGAGGAATGGTAAATATTCTAATTTTGGATTCTGCCTCAATTCAGGGTAGCTCTGGCCCCAGACTGAGTCCCAGGAATGTGGAAGGCCCCCCCCCCCTCCTGTCAGTCGTTGGAATTGTGCACGTGCTAATTTTTTAGGAGTCGGGGGAGGGCCGACAACTTCCCAACTGTGCATTAGCTCACTTTGCAAATATGAATATTATAATATGGCAATTATAACCACTTTATTATGACTCATTTTGGTGGCGATGTTATTGCGGTAGTATTCAAAGAGAAGTGAGTTTAAATTGCCACTATGCCATCCAAAATACAAAGCAAAATAATTTTACCATAGGAAATTAAAAATGAGGAAGGCTTCATTTGCAGAGCAATAGCGACCCAAAGATTTTGAAACGAACAGGACAAGCAGATTCTCCTTTTTGAGTGTGTTGTTGCTCACACCGAGACAGACTGCTGTGCTACCAATAGGACCCGCGCTTCACCCAAGTCAGCGGGCTCTCCAGGAAGCAGCACGGTCTACAACCCGCCCCTTGAAAAGGAAAGTACGGGCCCGGGACGCTCCGGGTGTGGGGTGTGTGCGCAGAGGGCTTAGAGAGGGAAAGTAACCGGAGTCGCCCGTTTGGGGTGGACCCACCCCCACCCACGAGTTTCGTCGGGCCTCGGCCCCGCCCCCTCTTTTATTCTGCCAGCAGCGACCAGAGCTGAAACTTTGTAACCGGAGCGCGCTGGCACTACTCGACTCTCAGCCCCGGTGCGGCCGAGAGGGAGGCGCGGGAGGTGGGACCTGCGGGCGGGAAGGCTCGGACGCCAGTGCAGGCTGAGCTGGGACCCAGGGAGAGCACGCCCGCGTAGAGGTGGAGCTGGAGCCGGAGAGCCACGAGAGGCCCAAGAACCGGAGCGGGTGGCCCCAGCCTTAGGCGCACAGGAGCAGCGGGGTCGGGAGAGTCCACGGGGTCTGGGGTTGCGGCCCGTGTCCGGTAACTGCGATCGCGCAGGAGTAGCAGCTGTGCAGGGCTCCCGGGGGCGGCGGTGGCGGAAGCAGAAGTAGCTGCAGCTGGACGGTGGCAGCTGGAGGAGCAGCTGCGCTGCTGTCCCGTGTGCCAGGAGAGCGCCGCGCTGCCCCGCGCTGGGATGACCCGCTGACCACGGTCATGCATCCTTGACGGGGGCGCAGGGACAGTGGACGCGGGCAGCAGGACTTTACCGCCGACTCTAGCTCAGCTATCAGTGAAGCCTTTTACCATGGAACCCGTGACCAAGTGGAGCCCCAAGCAAGTGGTGGACTGGACTAGAGGTGAGGAGCCTGGGGGGCCGGCATCTCCAGTCCGGCAGCTGGGGAACTGGGGCGGGTGGGGAGCTGGGGTGGGTGGGGAGCTGGGGTGGGTGGGGAGCTGGGGTAGGGGTGCTCAGTCCCTCCTGCGGGCGAGAGGTACTGAGAGTGCAGCGCGGCGACAATGCAAACTTCTTCAGAGTGGCCTGTGCGCCCCTCGCTTCTGTCCCTGAAGCCCAGGGAAACCCCATCTTTAAACCAAGGAGTGAGGATGGCCTTTCTATTGAGAGGGAGGGTTCGGGGTGCCAGTGTCGGGACTGGGGGGCGGCGCTCTCTCTCTGCACCGCCTGGGTGAGGTGCCCGGTGCCCTGGCTGTGCGTTCCAGAACGCGAGGCACAAAGCGCCTTTGTGTGGGTGACTCCCCTCGGACCTCGTAAAAGCCGCCTGCCCGGAGCAGTCGCAGGCATGCCGGGGCGGTTGGACAGGTACGGGGAGACTCCGGCCGCGAGCTGAGCCTCTGTTTTTGTTGGAGAAGGAGATAGGGCAGTGCGGGAGCCAACACCGAGGCGTTCGCGTCGGGGACAAACCGTGAGCCAGACTGCTCCGGACTCGGTGACTTTTGCAACGGGAAGGCGCCAGTATCCCCGGTGGCGCTGCGTGTTTAGGCCACAGTGAGACCCTGGGAGGAAGAAATCTGGTTTGAACCACTGACCTGACTCATGCTTATTTGGAGTGAGGGAAGCAGCAGGATGAGAAGGTAATGGGTGATGGCGCAGGGGTAGAAGCTTGTATCCTCTGGGCTGTCGCGGTTACTGTTCTACTCCCTCCCAAGATTTACAGGGGCGGGGCGGGGGGGAGAAAAAGAAACAGAGGTTTCTCAGGCCTCTTTGTATTCTTCCAAGAGAACCACGTCCACCAAGAACAATAATATTTTCATGGGTGCCTTACGCAGCGCCCCCCAGCCCCAATCCAGCGCCCCCAGCGCAGCATCTCTGTTTCGTTCCATCTCTTTTTTCTCTTTCTTCTATCTGTTCTTTCAGGTGAGGAATGATGTCCTTTCTCAATAATAATAATAATAATAATAATAATAACAACTAGAGTTGTATAGTGCTTTACGGTTTGCTAAGAGCTATCTCTGTTACTGTCCTGGGTCATCACAGTAAGCCGGTGAGGTAGGTAACACCGGTAAGATGAGGTCCTCTTTCAAACTGTCTCACCTGTGGCTGGGAGGCGGCGGCGGAGGCGGACACCTATCAGCTTCGCATCTCGTTCCGCAGGCCTGCGGTAGACAGAGACCCGCCGAATGGGATGTATGGGTGTGTCAGTGGGGTGTGTCTGGCTCCTTCCCGCTCCTCTGGGAAGGGGCAGGGGTACACTCTGCCCGGAGAAGAGGTTTGAGAAGAGGTTTGTCCAGTGCCCAGAATTTCCCGGGGCTCTTACTTAAAACGAAGTTGAAAACAACAAACTCTTGTTGTATGTACACTGGGTAAAAAGTGGAATAGCATGGTCAGTGCTTGGGACCAAACGTGAACGTAAAAGCTGTAAATAACCAGAGCCCATTTTGCAAAGGGGTTCTTCCCCCACTCAAGAGACTTCTAAGTTCTCCATCTAGCCACTGGCCCACCCTGAGTTGGTCTGTTTTACCTGTGTATCATGGGGACGACCTAAGAAACTGGTGATTTCGGCTGCCTTTGAATGTGAGAGCTGCTCTGTGCGGCAGGGTGGCTGGCAGCCACGTGTGACTCTTGAGCCCTTGAAATGTGGCTGGTCAGCGTTGTGACACCCTGTGAATGTCAAGGGCACGTGGCATGCGCATGCGAACGATCCCATTAGTAGTTCTTAATCCTTATTACACGCTGACGTGATAGTATTTTGGAAACATTGGGTTAAATAAAATTCATCACTAAAATTAATCTCACCTGTCTAGTTTTCCCTTCTGAAATGTCCCTCCTGAAAAATCGCGCATGAGGGAGGCTCACATTCGTGGCTTACGTTTCTGTCACACAGCACTGCTTCCCAGGAAGGAAAGGGTTACAGCGTATCACCCTGGCTTTCCTGAGCCTCTGCCAGCCTCCTTGATAATGTACAACCAGAAAAATGCTAACAGGCACACGGGAAGATTATGGAGTGAGATCTTCACACCCTCCAGATTTGTCTTTTTTTTTTTTTTGGTTCCTCTTTGGATTGGGAGAGAAGTGTAAATTCACATCCTGTTATGTTTGTTTAGCATGTAAAAGGAAGAGCAGATGCAAATTACTTTGGTATCCAGTTGCCTTGACGTTCTGGCTTGGTCAAGATGGCTCTCAGCCAGGGAAACTTTCCTACCGCCGCCACAGCGATTATGATTACGGCTGTTCCAGTATCTCGGTGCCCGGAGCACTGGACTGCTGATTAGGTTACATACCTGTGGTTAGCACGTGACAGCTTTATACAGCATGCCCGTGCCCTTTTGGACTCTTCCGTACAGCCTCAGAGAATGACCTGGATACTTCCCATGTTAGGATCTAGAAAGGCAGAAGGAGCAAGTACGTGGCTTGGCTAACTTTTAGATGGCAAGAGGCTACATGCTCCCAGATTCCACGGTGCAATGCATTGCTTGGATAGTTCCCGTAGTAGTGATGTGAAAGTATTTGACTGAAGCGAACTATTGATGTATGCAAACTTGTTGGCTTATAGGACCATTTTCAGCTGTCTTTGCTAATCTCTGTACCCAACCCGCACTTTATAAATACATCCTGCTGGTAAGCAGCTCTTCATGTAGACGTTGCCACTGTCGGTGGCCCGTGAGTGTGGCTGCAGTGACCATGGGCACCGTGGAGAGCCTTCCATTCAGAACTCGTGTCGATGTTGTTAAGCAGATGCATGCATTGAGAAAAAGGCTGGTGTCTACAGAATGAATTAATCCATCTGGCTATTACTGTTCTTACTTTATTTGTATTAATCTTCACCCATACTGTCACCAATGGATCATAATTATCAGTAGATCCTCACTAAGTATTAGCAATGTGTCAGGCACAGGGCTAAGCAACCCACAGGTATTAGCTCATTGAATATGCACAACCACACGAGATAGGAACTCGTATTTCCATTTTGCAGCTGAGGAAACTGAGGCACAGAAAGGTCCAGTCTTGACCAATGTCACACAGCCAGGAAGTGACAGAGAAGCGTTTGACCCCAGGCAGGGGGACTTCATTCCATTCCATCTGCTCAGGAGGCTCTGGCCAGGGTCGTGCCTGGAGGGCTCGGATCCCGCCACAGGGGCGACCAGACCGGCGGGATTCCAGGGTGTGCGTTACTGGCGCCGTGGGCTCCTGCAGGCCAGCTGCCCGGCGGACGTGTGTCTTACTTACCCCGCGTGTTTGCTGTGCGTGTCAGGAAAGTTGTTTGTGAACCCAGTTAATCCACGGCTCAGTAAATCACGGTTTCTTGATCACAATAACTGAAAACTTATCGTAATAGCTGAAGCATTTATTAAGTGTCAGACGCTGGGTTAAGTGCGTTATTTGGGCTTCACTCAATCCTCAGAAAACCCAGTGAGGTGTGCGGACCATTATGAGCCCATATGAAAGATGAAGAAACTGAGGAGAGGGAGAGAATTTGCTCAGTGTCCCATATTTCTAAGTGCTGGTGCTCTTAAGTGCTCCTCTCCCCTCGCTCCCCTCTGTCCCTTCGTCCCGTGGCCTGGACCTGGATCTGGAATCAGGCTCTGGGTTCATATCCCAGGCCCACCCCTGACCGTGTGATCTCATGTAAGCTCTCAGTAAGTCACCACTCCTTGTTTTTATCGCTTCCTCTCATCTTTATCCTGTAGCTCCAGGGTGTAAATGGTCTGTCACGAGGTTGATGCCTTCCACTCAGGGGGCAGTGGGTGCCCAAAGAAGTTTCCCTGCCGTCTGCCCACCACTCAGAGGATGCCGGCCGGGACTTGCCCCGGCAGGAAGGGTCTTGGTTAGCCGAAGGACAGATGCCTCTTGTCAATATCACGAGCCTTCAAAACGTATTTTCTCAAGTGTTTTCTTACAGTCCCTGGACTCCCAGTGAGCCTAGCATTAGGACTGACTCTTGCTGTCAACGGCTGACCCTTGTGGCGCCTGCATCACCTGGGAGATTGTTAGAGATGCAGACTCGCAGGCCAGTGAATCGGAATCTGCGTTTTACCCAGGTCCCGGGTGACCTACGTGCTCATTGACAGATTGAGAAGCACCGATCTAACATGCGGCTGCAAATGCGTCTTCACACTTTGTTGGTAGGTCCTGCTGTCTGGTCTGACCTGGGCTCAATCTATTTTATTTTTAAGATTTTATTTATTTATTTTTAGAGAGGGAGGGAGAAAGAGAGAGAGAGAAACATCAGTGTGCGGCTGCTGGGGGCTGTGGCCTGCAACCCAGGCATGTGCCCTGACTGGGAGTCGAACCTGAGATGCTTTGGTTCGCAGCCTGCGCTCAATCCACTTAGCCACGCCAGCCAGGGCTGGGCTCAATCTATTTTATTTAAGTTCTCCAGTGATGACACTTAATTTGAGGATGCTTGACCGCCAAGCCACTGAGTAAAGCAAAAAATTAATCTCAGGGTGTGTGCTTATATTTATAAGCACCACCTAGCAACAGCATCAGGTAATTCTCAGCAAACCAAACAAGATCGTTCCTCTGAGATTTCTTACATGTTCCTTGGGGCTTGAAGAGTTCTCATAACAACCTTTATTTATTTATTTTTTAAAGACGAGTAGTAAGAAGGACGTTGCGGGGTGCTCAGTGGGCTGGGGTTGATTGAAGTCTGCCCCCAGGATCCTCAGGGAGACTTGGAAGGATGAGACGAACTTTGGGCCGGTGACTACATGATGTTCATCACATATAGCTGATATTTGGGGGAGATTTCATGGTCGATGGAAAAAGACACTGGAAGTCATCCAGGAAGAAGTGACCAGGGCAGGTCCCAAAATCTGGAAGGATGGGTTGTGCCCGTGGCAAGGTGTCTCAGGTTTGAGTCCTTGGAGATCGGGAGGGGACCCCTTCTCGGGCAGGCCCCCCTGCCCGCCTCCCTTTGAGTCCACATCACGCTCAGAGAGCTGCGGGGGCCTCTCCTTTCCGTGTCGCCGCTTCGGTGGCCCTGCCTTGGCTTTTGTCCCTTCCTACCCTGTGGTCTCCTAGCTCTGGGACGTTTGCCTTCTCCCCTCGCTTTCTCTCTTTGCTCTCATTTTGTGCTGTTTCTGGGGTTTTCACCACTGGCTTAGCCACGCTCGAGGCTCTCCATGAATCAAGCAAGTTTTCTGTGCTCGACCTCTGCAGAGTTCTTCTTCCGTGTGTCTGTTCCCACTTGACTTTTGTCACGAGCCCAAGGCGCGCCCAGCGAGGCGCATCTCCGCTGCAGATGAGGAAACGGGCTTTGGGATGTGAGATGAGTCATCCTCGGTCAAAGGCCAGGAGCTTGGACCGCACTCGGCGGGCTTCTGTTCTGCGTGTCCGTCCAGCCCCTGGCTCCTCCGCCGGCCGGCCAGGGCGGGTGCCCTCTGCTCTCTGCTAATTGACGAGTGTGGGAAAGGGGCGGCTTCTAAGAACTTCCCACTTCTGTGTTCCCTGGTCCTGCTTTCAGCGTGCACACTTGGGAGACGTACTTGCTCTTAATCTTCCTTTTTTTTTTTTAATTCCACAGTTTAAGCAGAACCTTACATATTTTGGACCTGACCTTTTACTATGTGTGGTACTTACTGGCAGTTAGTTTGTTTTTATTCTAGTTTATTGTGTTTTATTGTTTCAGAAT